AAGAAAACAAAAATAACGACCTTATTCAACAATTCGTCTCCTCCGTGCCATGTGATTTATAAAGTGCTTAAACTCAATATAGACTGATTTCAAGACATCTCAAATTTCATTTAATTATTCAAGACAGACAATGAGAGCAAAATCTCAAGCCACTGAGCGGTTGTTAATGATCCATTAATTAATATAATATTTTGTATAATCTCGTTATGCTTAGTATAGACACAATAACTAAAGCCACTAGAACAAAAACATCTATGAGATGCATTTTGCCAATCCACTGTATTTTAATCCTTAGGATCTCTTTTGGTAACTAAATCTACTAAATGACTAAAACCCAAATTACTTGAGCTTGTAGTTAAAGCAGAAGAGATCATGTTGAAATAACAGTGCTCGTATTTACACCTTTACACCATAAGAGTGCAGTATATAACAAAATATTAAATTCTTCTCAGTGGCGCCGACACAGAAGACATCTGACATTTACATTTTACAAGTATGGCATACATTTTCAAAACTCTTAGTACTAATCTCACAAGAGATCGACAAAAATTCACTTTTCTCAAACATTTCAGAAAAGAAGTGTTTTGTCTACATAAACATAGCAACTTCCTTTTAAAATGCTATTGAAGCTTCTCTTCTCATCAGTTCAAAGTGTGTGTGTGTGTGTGTGTAAGAGAGACACACAGCGAGCAAACTAGTCTACAAGACATATTTTATCACACCATCTGATAATATATTAAACAAATAGTGTAACAAACTTTAGAGATTTTATGTCAGTTGTGTAAGTTAGGTATTTGTAAGTGTATTTTCTGATGTGATAAGACCGCTGCAGCCTGTGTTATTGTAACATCTTTAATCACATTTTAATTACATAATTTTTTATTAGTAATATGCATTGCATTGCATTGCAACTTTAAAGGTGATTTTCTCAGTATTTAGATTTTTTTGCACCCAATATTTATATTCTTTATAAAAGTTGACTCGTCCACGCCCTCCTAAAACGGCTCGTTCTAACACGACCCACATGTCTACATCACTATGTGGGAAGATTTGCATAACGCTGCCCAAATGTTCACGCAAAGAACGAAGGTGTAACTTTTATTCTGGCTGTAATATTGTTGCTGAGGGGTGTAAACATTTCCGTCACACGCTTGAGGTGTTCGGCCAATCACAACGCACTGGATAGCTGGCCAATCACACACACCTCGCTTTTCAGACCGATGAGCTTTGTAAAAATCAACGCGTTTCAGAAAGGCGGGGCATAGAGGAGAAACAATAATGTACAGTATGTGGAAAATAATGTGTTTTTTTAACCTTAAACCGCATAAACACCTTTCATTACACCAAATACACAACATAATGTTCTTTTTAGCAACATAATATGACCTCTTTAAACAAACTTGACTTGACTTAAACTGTTCTGGAACAGTGTTGTAAATACAACTTAACCACTGATTTCTAGTCGTGTCCTCTTTTGGAAAACCAAACAAAGTAGTTTCGCTTTCATAACGAAGCACACAGCGTCTTCACGACATGGCGGCGGCGGAAACAATACTACAGCGAGAATAAAAGTTACGCCTTCTGTCTTTGCGTGAACATTTGGGCGGCGTTATGCAAATCTTCCCACATAGTGATGTAGACATGTGGGGGCGTGTTAGAACGAGCCGTTTTAGGTAGGCGTGGCTGACTCTTAACTTTTATAAAGAATATCTCTTTGGATTTGAGACTTTAGTCTTTGCAACTTTACAGATCTTCTTTATGCACCAAGAGCTTGTAACACTCCAAAGAGAAAGGAACAATTGAAATAGCATCATATGACCCCTTTAACAATTAGATATAGTCAATGCATAATCAATGCAAGCGTTTTACAGGCTGTTATGATGATGAAATCAGCTCCATACATTAGACATATTAAATATATTAGATTTAAGTTGTGCCATCTTTTACGAAAATATAAATGATTTATGTCAATACATTTCCGGGTTTCCTGGTAGGGGATGGGGAATCACAAGATGATGTATCTGATATGGGCGTGGCTTCCAACGGCACACGTGGATGTGGGCGGGGTTGTATCGGGGATGGGCGTGGCTTCCAACGGCATACGTGGATGTGGGCGGGGTTGGATGTCCACCGTAGGCTGCAGCGAAACCTACTTCGGATTGAGAAGCTTTCATACAAGTGAATGAGAGGGTCACATCTCTACAGTAAGAGGTGTTTTAAAAACACTTTTAGCTGTATTTGCATTAAGGTATTCAGCTGATGTTTCACCTCATGCTTGCTTTCTTTATTTACCGTTAATGTTATTGACTTAATAAATGGATACACGCCCATTTTTTTTCCCACAAAACGAAAGTAGATGTAAGATCAGTGCCCTGCCCTGCCTCCCCAGAGTAAGGCATGCACGTGATCTGAACTGATCTGAGCATCTGAGCTGTGTCAGATACACCATGCGTGCTCAGCTGTGACTCCTTCACTGGGTAAGAAACTAATCTGAGTGTCCACTCGCTTTTATCAGCTGCGCATGTTTAGCTTTATTAGGGAAGCGAGCGGATTGCAAGGTTATCTGCAGGAAAATGACACTCTCACAGACTCCAGTTTTAAGTGAACTTGTCTGAGCAGTATTCGCGGAGCTTGCTTGTGTTATCAGATTTGTTTTGGCTCACAGCGCTGTTTGATCTGCAGTTTTAATGATAAAATTGGCTTATTTTATACAGATCGCGACGCTAGGATGTCGATAGACGTGAGCTGAGAACGTATCATGTGTTAAATCTAGGTTAGAGAAGATTCAGACACTTCAGACATGTCATGCAATCAAACACGGCTGATTCAGACCATCAGCTCATTAGTAGAGACTCAGAGACCTGAAATGGGTGTCAGACAAAAGGTGTAGTGCTGACAAATGTAAGAGATCCTGATCTGCCCAAAAAATCCACGTGATTTTTTTTGTGTGTGTGTGTGTGTGTGTGTGTTGTTGTCATTTATTTTAATGCTTTATTTCCATGTTCTATATCCTTACTCTCAAACTCAGTGTCTGCTATGAAACAGTAATGTCTATGGAAAGTCACGAAAGAGATGAAGTGTTGCCTCTTTGCTGTTTATTGACAGCATGAATCTGTATTTATTGATCCTGAGTTCTGTGGACATTGGTTTATAAGCAAACTGAAAGCAATATGGAGTTCTTACAAATCATGTGACCATTTGTGTGTTATGGAGCAATGGGTAAATTTCCTTTCCTCATTCTCATGCTCTTTGCAGGCATCATCTCAGAATGAAGTGTCCTCGATGCAATCATGTGTCTTCAGAAAAGGCAAAATTCTGCTGCGAGTGTGGATTCAACCTGTCATCTCTCTCAACTGAGACAGCACCAGGTAGGTGCTTGAGTCTAAATACAGTAGATCACATTTCTCTCCTTACAATTTGCTGTTGTTAGTTATTTTACATGTTTCTTACAAATATTTGTTTTCTTATTTTGGATGCTTATTTTTGTCCATACATTCATTTTTTTTCTCTCGTTTTGTTTTAATCAAATAATGAACATACAATTTAATACGTATATGAAAGACATTTTCACTGTGTGGTAGAAATTCCCCTACACACCTGACTTACGTTTACCTGGGGTCTCGTCTATGGTGACACATCTCCAAAGTATCTACTGGCAGCGCTAATGAATTACTACTCCTGGCGCATCTCTAGAGTTGGATGACGTCTCGCCCCTTTTGATCACTTAGGACTAAGATCTCTAGTGTTCGACTAAGCTGCTGTGCAGCAGTAACAGACAGACTCCTGACAATGCCTTTGAATATGCTTTAATCATGGCCGGGAGGACCTCATACCAATCACAGAGAATCCCCCCAACAAAAAGAATACAAGAGCTTATATAGCAAAGTGCATAGCAAAAACAACATCATGTCACGGTGAAGGAATTTCCCTTGCTGTAATTTTGAGTGGCTCAATAGCGCGATTAGGGATGGAACGATTACCGGTTTCACGATAAATCACGATAAAATGCCCTGACGGTTAGGATCATCGTTTAAAATTTAATTATCATCAAAACCGTGTTTGATTATCGCGATTTTGAAAACTCGCGGTAAATCCTGTCCAGCCAGCATCAGTCTGACGCAGAAGCTGCATGCAGTGTTGTTGTTGTTGTTTGCACGAGACGAAATGGCGGAAGACGGTGACAGCGCTCGGGAGATTTTTCAGCCATCTAAGAGGACCAAATCGGTGATCTGGTCGTATTATGGCTTTTACAAGAGTCCTGAAGGCAGTTTAATCGAGGACGGTCACCCTGTCTGCCGATCTTGCAAGAAGAAAGTAGCTGCAAAAGGGGGAAACGCATCAAATTTGCTCCGTCATCTTCGTGACCACCACACACTGTTATATAGTGAATGCAAGGCAACTTTTGGTTACACTTTACTTCACCAGATGTTACCTTGACAACGCTGCGCGTGCATGCAGCATTCAGTACTCCATCAGTTGTTGCAAATAAATATTTCTTATTATTATTATTCTTATTTTATTCAAATATTGTCTAATTGTCTTATTAAACGTTTTCAAACTAAACTTGCTTACACTACCGTCTTAAATCATATTTCTATCACTGACGAAATATGTTGTCTTACATTTAAAATAGACAAACTGAATTAGCCTATTCTATTTATGGTTTGTATGTGAACTCGAAATCAACCCCAACTTCGCTTTAAAAAGCATCACAAGATCTCCTAACCGAAGATCACATGATCACAAACGGAAATCACATTGTATATATACATGTATATGAATGTGTATATATATATATTTTGTGTGTGTATATACAGTGTATATATATATGTGATTTATTGTTATTATTATTATTATTAGGGTTTCATGTTAATGTTAATTTAATGTTTATGCTAAAAAAGTGCATATAGCTGCTAATTGTATTTGTTGTTTTTAGATTTTCAAATATAAAACTTATTGAAATGTTTTCAGTGTGTGTATCAGTTCTTTTTGAACATTTTCATCTAATTTGAACAAAACCGTGATAATATTGATAATCGTGATAACTTTGGTCACTATAATTGTGATATGAAATTTTCATACCGTTACATCCCTAAGCCCGATATGCTGTATTGCGCTATATATATATATATATGTGTGTGTACATACAGGTGCATCTCAAAAAAATGTAATATCGTGAAAAAGTTATTATTTTTTGTAACTTATTCTAGATTCATTATATGTAAAGTGCAACGTTTCAAAAGTTTTTTTTTGGTTTCATTTTAATGATTAGAGCTTACAGTTCACGAAAGTCAAAAATCCAGCATCTCAAAATATTAAAATATTTACATTTGAGTTTCATTAAATGGCCATCCCTACAGTATACAGGTGCATCTCAATAAATTAGAATGTCGTGTAAATTTAAAGTTGACTGGAAGGAAGAAATTGGGTAGGAAAAGGTGCACAAGCAACAGGGATAACCGCACGCTTGAGAATACTGTTAAGCAAAGCCTATTCAAACACTTGGGAGAGCTTCACTGAAGCTGGAGTCAGTGCATCAAGAGTCTCCACACTCAGACGTCTTCAGGAAAAGTGTTACCAAGCCACTTCTGAAACGGAAACAACGTCAGAAGCATTTTACCTGGGCTGTGGAGAAAAAGATCTGGACTGTTGTTCAGTGCTCCAAAGTCCTCTTTTCAGATGAAAGTAAATTTTGCATTTCATTTGGAAATCAAGCTCTGGAGGAAGACTGAAGAGGCACAGAATCCAAGCTACTTGAAGTCCAGTGTGAAGTTTCTGAAGTCAGTGATGATTTGGGAGCCGTGACATCTGCTGGTGTTGGGCCATTGTGTTTTCAATTCAATTCAAGTTTTTTGTATAGCGCTTTTCACGATACAAATCGTTGCAAAGCAACTTTACAGAAAATTGAGTTTCTACAATATTTAGTAGTAGCTTTTCAGTGGTGACTGTCAGTTAATGTGCATATGGCAGAAATCAAGTTCAAAGTCAATGCAGCCATCAACCAGGAGATTTTGGAGCACTTTATGCTTCCATCTGCTGACAAGCTTTATGGAGAAGCTGATTTCCTTTTCCAGCAGGACTCAGCACCTGCCCACAGCGCCAAAACCACTTCCAAGTGGTTTGCTGACCATGATATATGACTGTGCTTGATTGGCCAGCCAACATGCCTGTCCTGAAGCCCATAGAGAATCTATGGGATATTTTCAAGAGAAAGATACGAAACAGTTGATCCAACAATACAGACGAGCTGAAGGCTATTAATAATTTCAGACAGATGTAGGCCTGGGCGATAAAACGGTACCGATATTTATCGACTGTACACCTTCATCAATAACGATATAGAAAAATTTTGATATAGGCACATGCTACGAGTGACGCAGACAGCTCAAATGATGAAAAAATGGTACAATCGAATGTTAGGAGTGCGTCAGGGAGCGTCATCAGTGGAGCGCGAGATGCGGTGATGACGTAAGTGATGTTGTAGATTAATGTTTTGTTAGTCTAGCCCACGAGACGCGCCGCTGCTGCGTTATTCATTCAAAATGTTAGAGAAATATAGAAGCTCAATGCGGAGAATATCTTGATTAAGTTCAAACTGAAACAAGCCATTCATACAGAACGCATATTCAGCGCATTTTCTAGACGGACAAATATGAGTGCTGCACTCGCGTCTCACACGAGATGTAGCCATGCAAAGTTAAAACAGTTTAAAATTCGGCTCTTTGGATTAAGCAGTGCATAAATACATGAGGCTGTTTTGTTCATAATTATGCAATTTATAAAATTATATTTGATTTATATGAGTTAATTTAGAGGTAATGCACTTTTTTTTTTTTATAGACAGTTATTTTCTTTGCAATGACAATTTAATGTGCTACATTATTTTGTGTGCCTCCTGTGGCCTGTAAACAAGACAAAAGTTTAACCTATTTAATCTGCATATAAAACATTAGAAATTAGATATGTTTAATTTTTATTTTGTGTTTGCCCGTTAAAACAAAAAAATATTTGTTGTTTGTCAATAAATTGAGTTAATTTAAAAACACAGTGGTTAACTGTAAACATTTTTTTCTATTGCTGTTTGTTATAAAAAAATTAAATAATTATCGATACAGAACGATATGAAACATTATATCGTTGATACATTTTTTTTAGCTATATCACCCAGCCTTAGACAGATGTCTCGTCCTGTCCATATTGCAACACACACTCTATGGAACATTTTGTTCTCTAAAGGGTACAAATGTCAAGCCTGCAAGAAAGGGAAATGAAATTTATGATTGTATTTTTGAAAACTTTTATTATATTATTGAATAAAATATTAGTTAATTATCAAAGAAGTAATGCACTTTTTTTTTTTTATAGACAGTTATTTTCTTTGCAATGACAATTTAATGTGCTACATTATTTTGTGTGCCTCCTGTGGCCTGTAAACAAGACAAAAGTTTAACCTATTTAATCTGCATATAAAACATTAGAAATTAGATATGTTTAATTTTTATTTTGTGTTTGACTGTTAAAACAAAAAAATATTTGTTGTTTGTCAATAAATTGAGTTAATTTAAAAATACAGTGGTTAACTGTAAACATTTTTTTCTATTGCTGTTTGTTATAAAAAATTTAAATAATTATCGATACAGAACGATATGAAACATTATATCGTTGATACATTTTTTTAGCTATATCACCCAGCCTTAGACAGATGTCTCGTCCTGTCCATATTGCAGCAGACAATCTATGGAACATTTTGTTCTCTAAAGGGTACAAATGTCAAGCCTGCAAGAAAGGGAAATGAAATTTATGATTGTATTTTTGAAAACAGTCTTTTATTATATTATTGAATAAAATATTAGTTAATTATCAAAGAAAGAAAAAAATAATAGCCATAATATGGACTATTGTAAATGCTGTGATACTGTGATATCCTTCTCACATTGCTGAATTCACCATTAACTGTTCACCTGAACAGTTTATGTTGTTTTATATGGTATCATTGAAATCCTTGACCATCAAAACCCAGGGTTAGACATTAAGATAACACTTTACAATAAGGGTACTTGAATAATCATGTGCTAATGCCTAAATTAATACTTAAAGGGGTCATATGCTGCTGCTAAAAAGAACATTATGTTGTGTATTTGGTGTAATGAAATGTGTTTATGCGGTTTAAAGTTAAAAAAACACATTATTTTCCACATACTGTACATTATTGTTTCTCCTCTATGCCCCGCCTTTCTGAAACTCATCGGTCTGAAAAGCGAGGTGTTCTGTGATTGGCCAGCTATCCAGTGTGTTGTGATTGGCCGAATACCTCAAGTGTGTGACGGAAATGTTACGCCCCTCACCATACTGTGATGCCGTGTCCAGCCGGAGCGACGAGACAAAAACATTAAAACCCATTATAAACGAGGCATTTGTTGCATCCAGTGGGGACATAATTATGGATTATAATGACTTATACTGTCTTTTTACACGGTGCTTGCAACTTTACAGATCTTCTTTATGCACCAAGAGCTTGTAACACTCCAAAGAGAAAGGAAAAAAAATGAAATCGCATCATATGACCCCTTTAATTCATCAAATACTAATGATTATTAAAGGGGTTAACTAATCATGAATTAATGAAGAGCTATACTGGAGTCATATGGATTCACGCATGAATAACGGCAGCCTTAATTACATGTTAGTACATGTTTGATAGTTAATGCATTAATTAACATTTATGGGTAAACTAAATCAAACAGCCTCTTTAAGAAATAATAAGAAATATGCTGACTTTGAAATAAATTAAAATAATTTAATATCATAATTTGAGCTTTTGACATCTTCAACTTTATAATTGATCTTGTGTGTTTTGTGTTGTTCTCTTTCCCTTTAAACTCACCCTGCTGTGACTTATAAATAAACTAAATAAAAATAAAACCTCAAAATCCACAAAGAACATTTGTAGAACAATCCTAAAGAAATGCCCGGAAACCGTTCACTGTGCATCCAGACGCAGGCCGTGATGATACCGTTCCTCCGCTCTCTGACTTCTTGAAAATACACACACATCCACTTCTCTTAACCGGCTAAATACTCGCTGTGTTAGTACATGTGTATTTGATCATAAGTATAAAATAAATCATGAGCTGAGTTTAGTAGGTAGTTAACTGAGTTAATTATGATTGGGCCCCCTCAAGTAAAGTCATGTCAGAATAATGAGAATAACGAGCCATGAGTTCATGTTAGTGTATGGGTAGTTAATAATGAGTTAATTATTGTGGACCCTCTCAAGTAAAGTCATAACAAAATATGTGTATTTGCCATTTGTTTATGGCAAAGCTGAAGATGTAAAAAGTTCACATTTTTAAATAACAGTTAAAACAATTATAGTATTAAATTCTTTTAATTTATTTCAAAGTCAGCGTATTTCTTATTATTTCTTAGAGAGGCTGTTTGATTAATTTTCCCCAAAAATGTTAATGAATGCATTAACGATCAAACATGTACTTAAGGCTGCCGTTATTCATGCGTGAATCCATATGACTCCAGCTGTAGTTAAGGATAGCTCTTCATTAATTCATGATTAGTTAACACCTTTAAAGTCCCCCTATGGTGAAAATCTCATTTTTTATGTTCTTTATTTGTCTGTGTGGTGTTTTTAATATGCTTTTAGACAAACCATGTGCCAATCCATTTATCAACACCATTGCTGAGTATTTTTGTAGTTTCTCAAAGGCAGTCGCGGTTTGACGGTTTGAAACAGCCTTTGTTTTGCTACGTCACAAAACTCAATACCCAGTCGCGTCGAGGGATCCTATCCTCATTAACTGATTAACTGTGCTGCAAAGGGTCTAGTGAGAAGCCAGCCAGGTTAATCTGGTAACAGTAATATTTTTTTCTGTAGATGTTTCGCTAACTGTTAATATTTTCACGATGTCATGTGCTGTTAGCGCTTATTTATTTGTATTTAGAACCGCTAACTTGAAGAATAACCCGCGGCAGCAGTGTAAAAGTAGCGCGATTTGGAATCACAAACTTGGCTGCATTTGAGTCTTCAAGGCATTTTGAGGACACAACATCGTCAAGTAAGTAAATGTAACCAATGTTACAGTATCCACTGTTAGTTGTCCGCTAGTAAACACAGTTTTATCAGTCATTATCCGCGTACGAACCAGCGCAAACAGATAATGTTACCTCACAAAGTTAGCCATCAGTCTCCTTGCTTACATTGAGCATACCAACTTATTTCTGATGCATACACTCTAAAAAAATGCTGGGTTAAATATAACCCAGCACTGGGTTAAAAAGGGACAAACCCAGCTATTGGGTTGTTTTGACCCAGCGGTTGGGTTCAAAACATCCCAACTGCTGGATCAAAGCAACCCAATTGCTGGGTTTGTCCCTTTTTAACCCAGCATTTTTTAGAGTGTATGGCGTTTACTACAGTTCAGTACAGTTCAGGAGGCGCTGGCTGGTGTGTGACTGAGTGGAGGCGGGGCTAATTAGCATATTCATAGATCC